GAGCAGGGCAATCGAATTTATTTGCTGCTTCTAATTTTCCATATGCCCACAGCGACAACAGCGATGACGACGACAATTTCTATGCCAGAGTGACACACAAAAAAGGTTCTAAACACACACACACACACGCACACCGATGCAGCTGCAGCTGTGTTGTTGTTGCTGTTGTCAGTATGTAAATTGCCAAGTCTTCTTCGGCTATTTTTTCAAGTTTCATTTCGTTTTTGTTTTTTTTTTTTTTCTTGAGGCACGTTTTAGTTGTGCAGTTTTGCAAGGGTTGCATCCCTGTATGCCTATGTGTATGTGTGTGTGTGTGTTTGACTAGTTTTAGCTGCGTATGTCCTTGCATTTTGTGCAATTCATTTACATTTCAACGCTGCCGCTTTGCATTCCCTTGCGAGTTGGACAATTCGGCCAAAAGCAAACTTGTCACGTGTTACACGCACACACACACACACACACACACGCACACAGAGAGAAGTCGCATGTCCTTTTCATTGCACACAACATTTAACAAGCCCCTCAAAACGCACACGGTAAACGACTCGAATCGACGCGACGCGTCGCTCGCAGTTCGCAGTTCACAGTTCGCCCGTTTACCGTTAACCGTTTTTAGTAGTTCCTCTTTCGGCTGCTTTCATTTGGGTACCGTTCGTTTAGCAGCCGTTTGCTGTTGTTTTTGTTGCATTTAACGAAACTCATTTCTTTGCGACTCACTTTTGGCTTTTGAAACTTTTTGTATTATTTGGATTTTATCGCTCACTCACTCGCTCTCTCTCTCTCTCTCTATCTCACTCACTCTCTGTCCCTGTCCTGCTGCTGGTAACTAATTTGTTGTTGTGGCAGGACATGTGACGCCAAGGGAACATTAAAAGCTATGACGGTGTCCTTTAACTAACTAACTGCCACCTCTGCCTCCACCCGCATCGGCAAATGTTGCAAGTACGTTGACATCCGACATTACTCAAAATGCTAGGCAAAATGCAATGGCGTGTTAACTGCAGCCAAAATAGCAAATGCAACAGCAACAACAATAACAACAACAGGCAGAGAACAACATTCTAAAATTATTTGTTTGTTTATTTTTGGGCATGCAATAAATTCGTTTCTAGCCTATATACAAATATTCAACTATTAAAACACCATTCGATTTCATTATTAATAATTTTTTTATTTATAATGTTTTTAATATAAATAATACATACACGTGTATGTATATAAATAATATCATCAGAATTAACTAAGGAACCTTAAGTAAAAATATAGCAAATAAAAATATATTCATATATATGCGTCAAATATTTAGTTTAGTTAAGAGCGTAAATAGCTCTTAACTAAACTAAAAAAAAAAAAAAGAATAATAATAATAATAAAATAAAATAAAAAAATTAAAAAACAAAATAAAAATTTGTTTCTATTAAAATTTTAATTTCTTAAAAAAAAAAAAGATTTCTAAGTAAACATTTCAAAGCTATTACTTAAACAATTTTTGTTTTTAATTTTTAGAAAATTATGTTCAAATCAAACAAAATCAGTTAAGAGTAATTTTATAAACAATTCTTCAAATAAGTACATACATATCTTTAAAAAATTTGTTTTAAAAGTAAAATGTACAAGTGTTTCATTTCCCAAATTGATCTCATATTACTAAGCAATTCGTAAGCGAAATACTTGGACTAAATTCACAAAATGTTTGTGGAATCCATAAAAATTGCTAGCAAATTCGTTTCTCATATTTAATTTGTATATTTTGTGCTATTTTGTCTCTATGTTATGTCATATGAACGCACGTGCGTAGAATTGCGCGCTCTTCTAGCGTGAGTCTATCAGCCATATTAAGCATACGCCTCGTGGCACACGGCTCAGACGCGTCGTGGACGACGTAAACACATACGTACATGTTTATGTATGTATGAACGTCTCTCAGGTCTAATAATCTATATGCACCACCTTTTGACATTTCATTATGGCACGCACTCGTATTACCAAACTGAACTAGAACAAATGGAAGAACACAAAAACTAAATAGAAGTAGAGGCAGAAAAAGAGAGATAGAGGGAAAGGGAGAACAAATCATGAGGCAAAAATGCAACCAAAAATAAAACCAAAACAACGCAGAGGCCGTAAAAAATGTCAGGTTGTCGCTGTCGACATGTCAGCAATGGCTGTAAGTTGACGCTGCGCCGCCTGCGGGAGGCGGCCCAGGCGGCCCAGGCGGCCCAGGCAGCCGAGGCAGCCTAGGCGGGCGGGCGGCAGCACGTTGCATGCCACAAGAACAATGCAACACATAGGGCAAACAGCCGAGCCATTTTGTATCGATAGATATGCCATACACATACATACATACATAATGTATATCATTACTGAAATTTGCTTATGTAACGCGCGTAACTGACATGCCCCCGCCCTCAAATTAAAAAGGATGTGCATTAACAAAAAATAAAAAATAAAACGAAAAAAAAATTCAACAAAAAATGTTGTTTTTTCTCTCTCTCTCTCTCTCTCTCTCTGTCGGCCTGCGTATGACTTTTGCATATGGCCATGCGGAAAGGTAGCGCCTATGTATGCGTATATTATACATATGTACATATGAATTACGTATACATAAGGGTTTATCTACCAAAGACACACACACATATATGTATATATGCATACATGTGTATATGCGAGTATGAGCCATATAATGTGTACATTAATCGATAATTGCATTTTTTTTCGTGCATTTCTTTTGCCAGTTTTCATGGGTTGGCGGCCTGTCTCTCATGGCACATGGCATTTCCCTATGTGTATGTGTGTGTGCCGCTTTTTAAATGAGTTTGCGTGTTTAATTGGTATTTTCTTCCAGTTTTTCATTTTATTATTTTGTGAGCTACTTGTACGTCTCAGCTTAACAAACTTCATATTAATCATACGCCCCGTGTCGCTGCTGATGTGCTTAAAGGACAGCATAAACAGGCATTTAAAACAGCGCCCAACTTTGATTCAACGCACTTTCCCTCTCTACAATTTGTCGTCCTGTTTTTTCGTAGTATTTGATGCGCTGTTAGTTTTAGGGCGCCCGCAAGCCGCAAACTGCAAGCCACAGCGCGAGCAAACAAACAAAGCGACAGATAGACTGACAGACAGAGATAGTCATGCGAGGCGAGGCGGGCACGCAGGCAAGCCAGCTGACAAGTTGCCTTGAATAGATACTGTCTGCATGTATGTGCACATGTGTGTGTGAGCGCCTATCGACGTCTACAGCAGAGGGTTACAAGAAAGCAAAAAAAAAAATAAGGAAAGAGGAACACAGCAAAAAAAATCTATTTAGCATACATTCAGGCGCTTGCTTGGCATAATGTAAACGCTACTCTGGCAGACGCTGGCAGCATTGAAATACCGGCTCAGCATACGCAATGTGTGTCGCCTAACCACACACACACGCACACACACTCACGCACGCACACATGCCTTTGGGTAGGCAGACATTTTGTGCGTGCGTGCAACGCATTGTATGCAACCGCGCTGCAGCGAGCAACCCTTGGAATTTCGCTTGTATGTGCGAGTGTGCGTAACGTGTGTGCGTGTATGCGTGTGTGCATGTGTGCATGTGTGTGTGTGTGCGTTCGAGCTGGCTGCACTTTAAAGTTGTGAGTTTCGTAAGTCTCGCGCGTGCATTCACCTCGATTTTCTTTTTTTTTTTTTGCGCCTTTTTTTGGTGCGTGCGACGCCAACGTTGCAACAGCAACAGCAGCAACCCCTGTAGCACGGCGACGACGACCCTGTTTATTTGAGCGCCTCAAAAATGCAACGACAACAACCTCGAGGACAACAACAAACTGCAGTTGCAATACAATTTGAACGCTGAAAAGTTTGAACACGCCGCTCTACTTATGCGCCGCAGCAGCAGTTGCCGCTGTTGCTGTTGCAGTTATTGTTGCTGTTGTAGTTGCTGTTGCTAATGCAGTTGCTGCGGCGCCTGTGGCCCACTTGAGCAGCGTACGCAACGCAACGCACCGCACGCATGGCACGCACTTTTGCGCAATCAGGACGCGCCAGCGACAAGGACATGACTGACCTGGTGTCGTCGGGGAGGGTCGGACGGGGGCGCAACAAATTTCGCTCAACTTCCGGTTTAACAATATGGCAAAATATGGCTATGGTTAGACGAAGAAGCAGAAGAAGAAGAAGAAGCAGAGTAAACGTTGCAACGTTTTGTAAATGCAAATGCTTGCAACAAAACAGCTACAAAATGTGGCACCAAAATTGCAGCATTTGTTGAGCTCTGTTGCAGCTCGCCTCACTCACATGCACTCCACCTCTCCTGTTCTCCCTCTCTCTCTCTCTTTCTCTCTCTCTCTGCGCCTACCTCGATATTTAATTCGCATTTCGTGTGAGTTGACGCGTAACCTTTTTGCCTCATATAAAAGCGGCAAAGTTTTCCTTTTTTTTTTTTTTTTGTTTTTTTTTTTCAACAATTTGTTTTTTTTTTTTTTTTTTTTGCTTTTGCTGCACGCATGCCCGGCATTTCGAGTGGGCTATGCATTTTGCATTAAATTGCATAACTTTTGTGGCAATTAGACGGCATTGGCAAGGATATGCAAGGAAATGCAGTTTGCCTATGCAAACAACGAGTGCGAATCTATCAATTTGCCAGCCATGGCGTATACGTAATGATACGCATACGCAGCGTGCGCCACGACCAACAATTCTCTCAGCTATTTCATTTCATTTTTGTATTGCTGGCCTACCATTCAATTAAGTAATTTATGTCTGCACAAATTCCCAAGCTTCAGGCAAAAAAAAAAAAAAAAAAGCACAAAAAAAGAAAGGAAACAAATTGAAATAGGCAAATAGAAAAATAGGCAAATTACTAAGAAATAGAAAAAAGAAACAGAATAATAACCTATGCAGCTTATGCATAATTTAGCTACCTCAGGTGGCACCACTTATATTCTATGAACGTTCCACAATAACGAAATGTTCTCCCACTCTCTCTCCCTCTGTCTCTGTCTTTGCAGGCTTAGAACGCGTCGCTGAGGAATTCATGGGTCGCAGGAAATGGAAACATTATCAAGAGCAATTGACGCGCAACCAATTGAATATCGCAGAGCAACAGCCCATATCAATAATAACGAGCGAAGAGACAGACGACAACAGCGAATACAAGGAGAGCCACTGCAAGCCACTGAGCCAACGCTTAGAGCAGCCCAACGGCCAGCCAATCAGCAGCAACAGCAACAACAACAACCACAACAACAACAACAGCAACGGCTTGTTGCAATTTGAAGGCGATTTTGGTATGTAAAGAAATGGTCGACTTTTACTTAGCCGAGTCACAAACCAACTATTGTTTTACTGCAGACAACAACCACGATACATCACACGAGGAACACGACTCAAGTGCAACATCACGTAGCTCCGTCTCACCGACTCCACCGCCAGAACCCAACGATTGGACACCGTTTGATAAGTGCAATTTCTGTGTTAACGGTCGCTTGCTAACGGTTAACGCCAAAGGCGAATTGGTGGCCGAATCAACGGCCAGCAGCAACAGCAACAGCAACATCACCAACAACAACACATCTGTGCATCAGGTTAGCTCTCTCCCACTCTCACACCCACTGCAATGTTCTTATTTTAAGCTGACAACATAAAATTATCGTATACTTAACGCAACTTTCCCATGCAGCACGACAGCGACAGCAACTCGAGCGTATCGCTGCACAACAGCAGCACAAATACCAACAGCAAGCATAGAGCACGCAACAACAACAACAACAATAACAATATCAACAATATCAACAACAACATAGCCACAACGTCATCGCCCACGAGCTCCATAGAACTGTATAAGCTGCTCACGCAGCAAACAGCCAAGATGACATCCATGGAATCAATGGCCGCCAAGCTGGCCCAATTCACAATGATGGCCGACATCAATTTGATGAACACGCTGGCCAGTCAACAACATGCCAACTCCGTAACACCAACTACCTCGGAAGTAGCCGCCGCTGCTGCCGCCGCCGCCGCCGCCGCCGCTGCCGCTGCCTCTGCCTCTGCCGTGCCCAGTCCCACACTCAAGGATGCACTGCACAGTCCACACAATGCCGATGCGCCGCTGGACCTAAGCAGCAAGCCATCGCCGAACTCATCGATCAGCGGTGATATCAAGACAGCCAGGTGAGTCTCAATTCCATTACACGTGAGCGAGATTTATTCGCAAATGTGCACGCTTATATACTTGCTAATATACTTGCATATATAGTATACATATATATATTATATAAATCGGGCATTGCGCACAAGTGAAAATAAAAATTAAAATGCAGCACATAAAAATACAAAACGAAAGTAAAATAAAAATAAAAAGTCAAAATTTAAATGCTCTATAATAAACAGAAAATAATATATGCAAAAAAATATAATTGCAAATATAAAAACATGAAACGAATAAAAACTAATTAAACAATTAATAATTAAATGCTCTATAATTCAATTTTGTCGTAATATTATGAACTAAAACAGTTCTTTAAATTATAAATATTATTAATAATAATAATTAAAATAAAAATAATAATTATTATTATTATAATAGCAATTAAATTGTCTTAATAAATATAAAAAATATTTTAAAATAATAAAAAAATCCAACTTAAATGAAATAATAATAAAAATCACAAGTAAAATTAATTATGAAATTATGAAAAAAAAAAAAAAAAAAAAGATTTGACATTAAAACTTCACCGTCTATTTTATGACATTATTTTAATTTTTCATTTGATTCAGTAATAACAAAAATCATCAATTATTATCACAAATTATTAAGTATGAATTTATTTATATTTTTAATAGCCAAAAAGAACAAAACTTAACTAAACACGAAATAAATCAACTAAAAAATAAATAAAAGAAAATATTAAAAAGCTAAGAGATGAATATAATTATAATTAAATAATTAAATATATATAAAAAAAAAAAGAATAAATAAATATAGTTTATGAACGTGATGAAAAGCTTTGTATATAAATTTTGAAAAATAATTTTAAAACATATAAAAAATATTGTATTGCTTCTGCTGTTGGCAAAAGTCAGCTGCATGTAAAAATCACGCTTTTTCTCTTCGCATTTCTGTATCTGTATATCAACGGATTTTTATCAACTCAGTTAAGCAATGCAAACAAGCTCCATAATAAATGCGACATGCCCAGCCTTAACTATATATACATATAAAAAAAAAAAAGAGGAATAAATTCAACATGAAACAAAAAACAGAGAAAAAATGGTGTTTCAGCAGACAATACATGAGATAATTGCACTTTGGGCACTGGCCCGCCTCTGACACTGCATTTATTGTAGCATACTTAATGGGGCGGTAGAGGCGAAGGTGGAGGCGGAGGCGGAGGCGGTGGGGTAGGCGGGACGAGGTGGCCAACGGAAAGCTTTATTGTTGTGCGCCTATGTAAAAATCGTGCAATTACACAAGCACGTGTGTGCATGTGTGTGTGTGCGTGTGTGCATGCACATTTAAGTAGGTGTGATGCGCATATGTGTGCGTGTGGGTGTGTGTGTGTGGGCTTTGTGTGTGCGTGGTTTGAGTGCGGTTTATGAAACGATGCCGAAAATTACACATACGCCCCATAGCACGCAGCCAGCGCTGCGTTGGCCACGCTTAATTACTGAGGCGGTGCAAGCTGTGGGCCGCATAAATTTGCATCAAATTTGAGCTGCCGAAAAAAAGAGAGAATAAAAAGTGTATACAAAATGTATTTCCAGCTGGGCTGTGTGTGTGTGTGTGAGTGAGTGCTTGTCTGTGTGTGTGTGCATCTTAACTCCTTTATATATTTTGTGCCTGCTATTTTTTTTAATTACTCTAAAATGTTCGGGAGCACCTAGGCTATTATTTATGTGTGTGTGTGTCGGTGTGTGTGTGTACACTTCAGACGACAGAGACAAGGGGCGTGCTGAGAACGTGTGCATAATTTTCCAGCACTTCCACAATTTTTGTCATTATTTTTTTTCTCCTCTTTTTTGGTTGTTTTTTTGTGGCGGCGGCGGCAGCGGCTGCTGTGGCTGCCACTTGAGCCGCAAAACACGAGTCCTTGTCTATTGTCTAAAGCATGGCCAAGTGTTTGTTAGCAGCTGCTGCTGCCGCCGCTGCTGCCTTGCATCATCGTGCACCTATTTTAATTGTTGTGATAAAAAGCAACGAAAAAAGGGAATGCAAACAGGATGCGACAGCTGACAGGAACTGCAGCTGGCTAAAAGAAGAAGTCAAATGCCGCGCGCATTGACAAGCGCTCAATGGCTTTGGCCAAAACATGTCCAGCTCACACACACACATACACACACACACATAGATATTATATATATATATATAGTTGGCAAATGTATTGCCAGCAGCTCAGTCAAAAACACTTGAAATACAAAAGCCACTGACGCTGCAATTTTTTGGCGTTTATTACGGATTTTCTTTATATATATATATGTGTGCATATATATACATAGATATATATATATACTGGGCTGGCTGCTGTTGATGATGAGGCGGCGACATCGCCACTCCAAGTCAAGCGTCGACGTCGACGTCGCCGCTGGCAGCGGGCGCAGCAGACAGAAAATGAGTGCATCATATCGATCGCTTTTTTTTCCCCACTGCGTTTTACATTTTTTTTGGTCTTTCTTCTTGCTACTTTTTTCTATGCAGCAGTTGGGCGGAGGCGGAGGCGGGGGGCGTGTTGTCGCTGTGTGTTTATATGTATTCATTATTTTTCGTTTACGAAAAATTCTCTGTGCACACACACACACACACACACACACACACACACACACAGGCATGCACCGAAAAAAAGATTGTGAGCGTAATAACTGGCATAGACTGATGACGCCGGCGTCAACGGCGGCAGCGACTGCGACTGCGACGGCAACAGCGACGTCGCTTTCCCCATTTGGCCCCAAAAAAATGGTGAAAAAAGCGAAATAAAAAAGCTTAATGCGTGCACTTGCTATTGTTATAGCCGATGTTGCTGCTGTTGTTGTTGTTGCTGTTGTTGTTGCTGCTGCTGCAGGCCAGCAATTTTTAACCGTTTTTTTTTTTTTTTTCATTACTCCCCAATCCCCCTGCCGCCCTTTTTGCCATATTTTTGTCATATTCCAATGACCGTTGGGCGTTCAGGTGGGTCGGCCTGGTTGACTGGCTTGGCTTGGCTGGCTGGCTGGCTGGCTGGCCCGCCTGATTGCCGTTATATGTGTTTGTATGCTATATGCGTGCGTGAATGAAATGTCGCTTAAATGAGCGAGATAGAAAAAAAAACGCATACAAAAAAATTGCAGCAGCTGCAGAGGCAACGGCGACGGCGACGGCGACGGCAGCGACGTCAGCAGCGCTGGCCGTAAAAAAAATGAGTGCATATCTTCCGAAAAAATGCAACTGCATATGTATGCATGTATGCGAGCATGCTAGTGTGTATGAGTGTGTGTGTGTGTGTGTGTGTGGGTGGTTGTTTGCTGCGCACGCATCGAGTGCAAGGGGCAGGCAGGCTGGGCTGGGAGCCGCCTGCATTGGCAACAAAAACAAACATGCAATTGCATTCATACACAAGTAAAAAAATAAAAAACACTCACACACACACATGGAGTCACATGCACACATGCACTTGATGCATTTTTAACAAAATTGCATTCGGCGTCGTCACACACACACCCGAACATTCAACCCTGGGACGGGACACTGTGCCAGCCCACGCCCACTTCCGCCCACCCACTGGCCAAGCGATGTTTGCGCTGGCGTCCCGCCACAGACAAATTTAGCGGCCACGCAACAAAATGAAAAGACAACAGAAAAACGAAAAAGCGAAGAAACGAAAAACCGAAAAAGCGAAAAGAGGAGAAAAGTGAAACGAAAAACTTTAATTAATTATGTACACAGACCGAAGCCAGACTGGAAAGAATATTTAACAGATGCTTAACTTTGGCTAAACTTCAAATTAACGCTCTAAATTATGAACGTAGCGAAATTACAAAATTACAGCAAAAGCAGGAGGAGAGGGCGAATTAATACAAGTTAGGCTTATTTACGAAACCCATTGAATATGAGCCAAAAAATGAGGCAGCAAGAGATTTATTATTTATTTGCTTCAACTAGAACGGAAATAATAATATATGATATAATATATTGAAAATTAATAAGAATACTTGACTATAGACTTTTAGATACGAGCCATATAAAAGGCATATAGAGGGCACACAAACGGCAGTCCTATAGACCTCAAATGATCACATCTGCTTCTATCTAAATGTATCAAAATTCCACTGTTTTTCTTAAAATATTCTGCTAGGAATGCACTTTTGCATTAACTATAGCTATTTGATAAACTTTCTCTTAATTATTAATGCTCGTATAAAACAAGAAATTGTTAGAAACTAAATCTGGGCTGCAAGGTGAATGAACCATTAGTTCGATCACTTGACTCAGAAATTCTCTTGTGGAAAGGGAGATGATTCGACTTAAGCTGTTGTTAGTTTCCCTCCGTATCTTCTAGCATCTCAGTAACTCTCGAATCATATAGTTAAACCAGCTTATAGTCTTAATAAGTACTACATATAGGCCAGCATTCAGTGGGTCAATGAAAGAGCTATATTATTAGTCAGGCACTATTCTATACAGCTTTAATATGGCTGTAAAGCAAAGTCCCTCAATATTTCGATCACTCGCCAGATTATAGTATATATTAATAATTTGTATATATTTGCTTTCGTTTGCGCTCGCATTGCCCGCGAGTCGAATGGAATTATGTATATACTTATGTTTAACCCAACGCACTCGGTAAGCCCGAAAAAAAATGTAATACCAATGCATTGTGCATTTCATGTATGTAAACGGATGCAAGGCATGGGTGTCAGTGTGAGTGTGTGTGTGTTTGTGCTTGCATTGCTGTGTGTGTGTGTGTGTTGTGTATTTAAGGCATACAAAAGGTGTGGGATTCACCGACAAAAAATGCGATATGCGCATAAAAATGTCAGCAGCAACAACAACAAGAACAACAACAGCAGCAGCAGTTGCAGTTGCAGCAGCAGCAGTTGCCGATGCAATTGCAGCAAGCGTCAAAATTGCAACAACAACAACAACAGCAACGAAATCCACGCAAAAATGCAACAAAAAATCAACCCTTTTTTTATTATTTTTTATATTTTGTTGTTGCATTGCAGTTGCCGCTGCTGCCACAAATTAAAACAAAATGTCAGAAAAAAAGGCGAAAAAGAACGAAAAAATATAAAACAAACGTGGTACGAGCGCAAATGAATCCTCGCTACATGCGTGCAACAAAAACAAAAACAACAACAACAACAGCAGCAGCAGCAGCCAAATTCATGGCAGTGGCAGCGACGTCGGCGTCGACGCCAGCCGCGGCTGTTGCAACGACGGCAAATTGCAATTGAAGTGCAGCCAAAAGGTAAACGACACCAACAGCTACAACAACAACAACAACAACAGAAAATCAAAACGACATTGAAATGACATTTTTCATTAATATTTGCAAACCTTTTTTGCGAAACCCTTTTTAACCCCTTCGCGCCCCTGCACACATTTTTCGGTCACATTATTTGGTCTAGAGGCGCGCAGCAACTGCTCTTCGGTCAGCAACCATTGCTGCCACCTGCTGTTGCAGCTGCACGCTGCTGCTTCTTCTCATTTTTTGTTGCTGTTGTCAGCGCAATTTTCAGACATTTTCCAGACGTGCACGATCCTAGCAAAAACAAAAAAAAATGAAACAGAACCTTGCTACAACAACAACAACAACAAAACTTTTCCGTCAACTTTTGCTGCGCTGCGCTGAGCTGAGCTGAGCCGAGCTGAGCTGGCCCACAGCCCACAGCGAGGACAAGAAGCTGTGCTGTGCGTTTCCGCAGCCAGTGCAATGTACTGCAACGGCAGTACACACACCCACCCCGCCCACCTACGCGCACAGCGCGACGAACGCACCCAGCCCCACCCACTGTGTGGTGCTGCCAAAAGGGTCTTGGTCTCAACTCTCGTCGCGTCTGCTGGCGTCTCGTCTCGTCTCGTCCCGTCTCCTCTCCTCTCCTCTCGCTACCCTGCCGGCTGCGCATAAAGAAAAGAAAAATTTCGTACGGCTTTCACTGCTGCTGCTGCTGATGCTGCTTCATGTTGTTGTTGTTGTTGCTGTGCACAAAAAGTTGCCTTTTGAAATGGGCTAGCCAAAAGTGCGCTCCACCCGGCCAAACAGAGAGTGGCTGCAGCGCTGGCACCACCAAAGCGCCAAGTGGTGCGGCTTGGCATTAAGTGAAAAATGCTTTTTTATTTTAAGCAAAAAAAAAATGAAAAAAAAAAAAAACAACAACAAAAATGGAAAAAATTCGTCTAATGAACTTCAAAAACATGTTTGTCCCTGCCTTGGCTGGCAGGCTGACATCTTCGTGTCTGCCCCTGCCACGCTCAGCCCTGGCGTGTCATCTTTTGTCTCTGCAGCAGGCCAAAATCGGAGAGAGCTGAAAGTACAAAAAACACACACAAAAAAAAAAAAAAAAAAAGCAGGGTATATAGAAAAAGGAAGAAACGTTACAAATTTTTCTATGCTGCATCCTTGCCATTGCCTTTGACAAGGACAACGTCGCTGCTGCTGCTGCTGCTGCTGCAGACATTTAAGAAGCGCTCATTGTCTCTGCACTCAAGTGTGTGTGCTCCATGTGTGTGTGTGTGTGCCCAATATATGAGCACCGAAAATAAAAGAGGGAAAAAACGAACAAACAAAAAATGTGCATCGGCAAAGGGTGAAAATAATATTTTGTCAGCTTCTGTTTTCCGCTTTGAACTGAAGTCACAGAAAAGAGAAGCTGTCAAATGCGAGCTGATGTGCCGGAAGAGGTTCCCGAGCACATAATACGGGATGGATCATAATACGGCTTGACTGCTCAATTACCTCGATGGCACATGTTCAAGGGCTACTTCGACTACAAATCTACTTTCATTTGCCAAAAGTTCATTCACTTCAAATTGTCGAACTAATTAAGATCAAATTGGATTATGGTTCACAAGCACTAGTACCACATTGAATGGAATTGAAGAGGGCATATAAGTTTTGAATAGCTGAGGACAATATATTCATTTAGAGATTCATTGGCAGAATAGAGATAAACTGGCTGAACCAGTCTGTCTGTCCTCCGCTCTTCTTGTCCGTCTATCAATCTGTATGCATGCAAAAGCTATAAGAGTCAAATTTAAAATATTCAAATTTAAAATATTCATTCTTATATAAGCTTCAAGCTAAAGCTTTTTTATGTCGATAATTTTCTAATAATCTCGAAAAGTAGAAGAGCTAGTGTTATTAAACTTGGTATGTAAGCTCTCGTAAGGTATACCCATTGAATATTAATATTAGTTTTTTGATACATTATTCATATATGTATATATTTTATCATATTTTCGAGCAGCAGATTATTACACTATGGGATGTACATACCATTATATGTCAGCAGTTAGATCGGATTGCAGAGTATCTTCTAGTCAGCTCCTACTTTAAGTGCTCTCTTATTTAATGGATTATATATACATATATAATGGTGCACATATTCAACTATAACTTCTAGCTAACTTCCTAGTCGGGCACCTAGCACTAGAGCGCCTATTGAATTTATTGTATATAGGTTATTCATCGAAATGTATCTTTATAAGTAGGACACTTTCTACTAAGATACCCTTGCTTTTATTTTTAATATCTGTGTACTTATAATTGTTAATGTAAAATATAAAAATTTCTTTAAGTATTACTGCATACTTTTCCTATATACTGTATAGGCCAATAAATTTATATCAAATATAGTTGAAAGCCTATTAAACGAGTATCCTTAAGTCGGTTACTTCCTGCGAAAACACTCTTTCTGTACTCTTAATATATACACTCCGTTATATGTTTCTTTATATGAACTCGTAGCAAACCTTTGTTTCATCTCCTGCCTTTCTCTGCTCTTACAGAGCTCTGTCGGAGTGTGCCACGCCCCTTGGAGCCGGCGGCCGGCAGGCGTACAGCAATGAGGATCTGAGCAGCGCGCTGCAGGATGTGCTGGCCAACAAGCTGGGCACACGCAAGGCGCCCAGCCAATACCACGTGCAGCGCACGACGATGCGCAGCAAACTGGGCAAAATGTCAATCGATGGCAAACGTGCGACGCCCGACCTGCAGCAGCAGCAACTGTTGCAGCACGAGCTGGAGCTGGACGAGCAGGAGGAGTCCGGCGATGAGGCCGGCGATGGCGACAGCAATGCGTCGGGCTACCAGGATTTGGCCCATCACATGGCCGTCAACGAGCATATACGCAAGCTGGGCGACCTGTCCGAGCACAATGGCAGCGACCTGGGCGACGAGCAGGAATCGGTGATGTCACCGAAACAGACGCATTCACAGGGCGCCGGCACGCCCACTGGCCACCTGCCGGGCGTACCAGCTGGCGGCAATGTGGCCGGCGCCATAGATACGCGCGTGCTGCTACATACGCTGATGCTGGCAGCGGGAATCGGGGTGATGCCCAAGCTGGATGAGACGCAGACGTTGGGCGATCTGTTCAAGACGCTGCTGATGGCCAACAGTGGCGGCATTCTGGCCCAGGAGAGCAACGGCAGTGCCACGCTCTTGCAGCAGCAGCAGCAGCAGCAGCAACAGCAACAACAGCAACAGCAACTCAATGCGGTTGCTGCCTTTCGTCGTCATCTACCAAAGTCTGAAACGCCGGAGACTAGCTCCTCGCTGGATGCCAATGAGGCGTGCGAGGATCCTATACTGAAGATTCCGTCCTTCAAGGTCAGCGGCGCAACCAGCGTCTCGCCCACCAACAGCAACAATGCCAGCGCCAACATCATCGTCAACAACAGCAGCAACAACAACAACAACAATAGCAACTGCAGCAGCAACAACAACAACTCTAGCAGCAATCGCAACGGGGATCACAGTCCACACTCCGCCTCGCCGATGCTGGCAGCAGCTGTTGCCGTTGCAGCCGCCAGCAACAGCTATCGCAACAGCAACAACAACAGCAGCAGCAGCAACAATCTGCTGTCGCCGACAGCAACATCCATACAAAAGATGATGGCCAACACCATACAGCGCAAGATCAACGAGCAGAGCAACCAGGACAGTCTCCTGGTCCTGGACAAGCGCAACAATGGCAACACCAGCGGCAGCGAGTGCAGCAGCAGCGGCGGGGGCGGAGCAGGAGGCGGCGGCAATACCAGCAGAAAGCCCAGCATATCGGTGGCCAAAATTATCGGTGGCACGGATACCTCACGCTTCGGCGCCTCGCCCAACTTGCTGGCCCAGCAGCACCACAGCCATCTGAGCGCCCATCATCATGCCCATGCACACACGCATCCGCATGCGCACCACCAGCAGCAGCAGCAACAGCAGCTGAGCGCGCAGGAGGCAGCGGCGCTTGCAGCTGGCAAGGGCACTCGGCCGAAGCGCGGTAAGTACCGCAACTATGACAGAGACAGCCTGGTCGAGGCCGTCAAGGCTGTGCAGCGCGGCGAGATGTCGGTGCACCGGGCCGGCAGCTACTACGGCGTGCCGCACTCGACGCTGGAGTACAAGGTGAAGGAGCGGCACTTGATGCGGCCGCGCAAGCGCGAGCCGAAGCCCCAGCCGGATCTGGTCGGGCTGACGGGCGCGGCGAATAAGGTGAATGCCAACCTGGTGGGGCTGAATCATCTGGACAAGCTGAAGGCGGGCAACAGCAGCAGCGGCAACAGCAGCAGCAACAACAGCAGCAGCAATGTCGGCTCCAAGCTGAGCAACGCCCTGAAGAATAACAGCAACGCGGCGAGTGCAGCGGCCGCTGCCACGCCCAACGGCCTGAAGCTGCCCATTTTCGATGGCGTTCAGCCGTTGTCCTTCCAGCCGACCATGTTCTGGGCGCAGCCGAACGCCGGCGCCAACTATGGCCTCGACTTGAATCGCAATAACGAATTTCTGAACAACCATCTGGCCGAGGTGATACGGGGCAGCCCGCTGGGCGTGGCGGCCAATCTGAACCACGGCCATGTGCCGAGCGTGCACATGAAGAGCGCCCTGGAGTACGCCGAGAACATGTACGACGGCATCATACGAAAGACTCTCAAGCAGAACGACAGCGACGTCATCCTCAACAGCAGCGGCAACAACAGCAACAGCGGCAATGGCAACGGCAATGGCACCGGCAACGGCAATGCGCTGCTGGATCAGCTGCTGGTGAAGAAGACGCCGCTGCCGTTCACAAACAATCGCAGCAATGATTACATCAATGCCACCTGCTCCAGCTCAGAGTCGAGCGTGAAGCGTCCGGGCAGCCCGCTGGGCGCCTATGCGGATATCAAGCGCGAGCGACTCAGCCCCATGCGCAGCACGGCGAGCGCCAGCAGTGAGGACGAGCAGGATGCACATGTCAACACCACCAATAACAACAACAACAACAACAGTGAGTTGGCACACAACAAGAACAACAATGGCAATGGCAACGGGCGCAGTCGGATGACATCGCGCGACTCGGAAACGGACGCCAGCAGCTTGAAGAGCGAGCAGTCGCTCAGCTCGGCAGCGCAGCTGCACAAAATGATGGATCTCAATGGCAGCAACAGTGTCAAATACGAGCCAGAGCCGGCGGCAGCAACGGGGTCGCAATTATCGCCGAACAGTTCGATACTGCACGACAAGCTGGCACAGATCAAGGCCGAGCAGGCCGAGGAGCAGTTATAGGTCCGGTGGCAACCAGGTGAGGACTGTCCCCAGCAGCAGCAGCAGCAGCAGCAGCAACTTGTGGCAACAACATTTGTGTGGCCACCGCTAGCCACGCACTACTATAGTTTCTAAATGAATGGGGCAGTTGGTTAGGTGTATAGGCAAGGGCAGATTGAGCGAAACCAAATTTTTAAGCATACATGTATGTATATATGAATGCCTGTATATATGCATATATGTATATACATATACACAATGACAAAGCAAAGAGCCCGCGGCAAATGGAGCAGCAACTCCAAATTGTTAGTAGTTAATAAAACCTAAAGCAAAACAAAAATGAATACACACACACACACGCAAGCATATAACTTATATGTATATGTAAGCATGCAATCTGTATGCAACACAGCAACAACAACAACAACAACAACAACAACAACAAACATGCATAGATGCCCACAGTATTTATGCATATTTTTTGTTTAGTTTTTTGACAATCGACAAATAGGCATTCTCTTGTACAAACTTTCTAAACCAAACAAAACAAAAAACAACAAAAAAAGAAAACCCTAAAAAATATACAAAAAACAAGTAAGCAACAGTAAAAACAAGAATACCAAGTAAATTCATTTTTTAAATTAAACAAAGAAAAAGCAACAAAATTTATTTCGATTAAAATTTTATTTCAACACCAAAAAAATTAAAAACAAATTAAAGTACAGCCCATATAAAAATACTATGCCAGCGCCTGCTTGCGGATTGTAGACAAAAATTCTTGGAAATAAAACATTCCATCAACATTTTTATAATTTTTAATATATATATATATAAAAAAAAAAAAAAAAACAAATCAAAACAAAACAAAAGAAAACTTTATATGTGATTTCTAAAACGCAATGCAGACGGCTTATGCATAGCTACTGACACTAAACCCAACAACAACAACAATAACTACAAATACCAGCAACAACAACAACAATAACAACTAAACCAACAATAATATCCGATCAATAACAACAACAACAGCAAACATAATAGCCAACAACAACAACAACAACAGCAAACAAACAAAATAGCAAACACAAAATTCAAAAACTACAAAAATCAAAATCAAAATTTTTTTTTTTTTACTTTCTAAACATGTTTCATTTCAATGTTTTACACTATTATTTTCAAAAAAAGAAAAACCCTTACAAAAATGAAGAAATATAAAACAAACGGAAATCAATAAACAAAGCTGCCTTCACATTTACAAATTAAATAAATTGATAAGAGGAATGAGAAATTGTTAGCTAAAGCAAAAAGAAAAAACAAAAAAATATATAAAGAAGAAGAAGCACACAAAATAATAATAATAATACAAGAAACTTACGCAAAAATAAAATTCACAACAACAAAAACCACCAACAACAACAGCAACAAAAGACAGCCCATCAAATGTTAAAAAAAGAAAATTTAAGTTGATATAAAAAAAAATTAAAACACATATAGATAACAAAATTATGAGATATGAAAACAAAATTTTGATGTTTCGATGTTAAAAAAAAATAAATAAGTAATAAATTTAACTAAATGTTTTAGGCCGTAAATTTATAAAAACAAAAACAAATTCCCATTCGATAAAATGTCTTGAAGTAATTTCTATAAAACCATATATCCAAGTATATATATATGTATATTTCTGTATGTGTGTGTCTTGATCCATTACGCGTATACCTCAATAACGAAACACACAAGATCATTTTGAGCAACTCTATATAAAATGTACTTATACACTCTACACACTCTTTACACAATATATAAAAAAAAAAAAAAAAAACAAAAAATGAAAAAAAAATTGAGGAATGTCTACTAAATACATATTTACACTTCAAAAATGAAGAATAAGACAACTTTTTTGGTCAAAACACGCTCCCTACCTATCCCTCCCCCATTTGAGAGCTCTCTTGTTTCGAAAATTCTAGATGGGTTTTACTTAAATGTATGCGTAAATAAAAAACAAAAACTCTATATATATATATGTACCTAAACGAAGAAAAAACAAACATATTTTGTGTGCTAGCTAGTAAGTGTCAAAAAAGAGAAAACAAAAACTAAAAAAAAAAAATGTATTCATAACAAAAATTATATATACAACAAACACATGTATTTTTAAAGTTAAACGAAAACCAATATCAAAATTCTATTCAGCTGAAAAAAATATTTAAAAAAAACCAAAATTATTTATAATTTAAAGCATATTTATTGGCTAATCCTTAAAAATAAATTCGATGTGCATAAATGTTGTGGCTAGAAATACAAAATACAAAATATATAATTCCAAAATTTCTATTGAGGCAAAAAAAGAAAAAAAATATTGATAAAAAAGCATATTTCGTATATTTAAAATATGAAGAGAAAAAAAATGTAGTAAATTATTTGCATCACAAGAAATTGTTTAAAAGCAAACAAAAAATCAAATCGTATTTATTGCTAATTTAATTATATTTGAAGTATACATACATATTTATTATACATACATATATACACACATATATATGTATATAAATATATATATATATAGACACACTATCTGTGATTAATAATCCAAAATTTTGAAGAAACTTTTTCTGACTAATGTTGGTTAGGCAAACAATGCATAAAAAAGTAAATAATTATTATAATAATATAAAATACAGATTACACACACACAGACACACATATATAGAGAAAGCTATAAACTAATTGAACGATCGGATACAAATAATAACAACAAGAACAACAACAACAACAGCAATAACTACACAGAGCAACAACTATAGAAAGCGAATTCTTGGTTGGCATATGGAGTATGTATGTCAAGGTATATACGATATAGGCCAAGATACCAGTAAACAATAGCAAAGGCAACAACTTCAGCACATAACTAACAAAACAACAACAAAAATCATAAAACAGTTCAGAGCAAATATAGTTGTACATATATTTTGGAAAATTTTTTACGCAAAACTAAACAAAAAAAAAATGCAGTCAAAAAAAAGCAAAATCAAAATGCAATGTAAACATTTTATAAAACAAAATTATACAAAGTAAAAGCTAAAAAAAAAAATAAGAAAAATAAAAAAAAAGAATATTTTGTTTAAGACAAACAAACAAAAAAATGCTAGAGAAAAGTAATGAAATCAAACTAAATCATAAAGAAATATAAAAAAATTTAAATTAAAATAAAAATAAAGTGCAATTATACGGTTTATATGTATTAAGAAGCAAAAACAAAAATTAAATTAAATTGTAAAAACAAAATCTGATTTGAGAAGTTTATGAAAAATGCATTTTGCTGCCTACTTCAAGGCGCGAGAAACCAGAATTGAATAAAGAAATACGAAATACAAAAACGTAAATGTAAATGAAACAAACACATACATATACATATACACACATATACACACAGACAGGTAAATGGGCATAGGAGTATAGTGAAAAGTAGAAGAAGAAGAAAAAACAAGAGAAAAGCAAAGCAAGCCGTATGTAACTGAAATATGAAACCTTTTCCACTTGTTAGAAGAGAAAGGTTTTCGTTGCGTGAAGGAATAGGAATATAACAGCTTGAGAATGTTGAGAATTGTATAGAATTTTTGCATTTTCCAGCCTGCCACGCCCCTTCAAAAACTGAAATATAAGGAGGATTCAAAACCGTCTCTTGGCTAGGTGGGTTGGGCGTGCAAAAACGCTCAGGTACGTGTTTTTATTTTTCGGAGAGAAAAAAGATTGATTACCCATACATTACTTATTCTTTGTTTACAACAAATTCATAGTTAATAATTGTATAAAAAAAAAATAATAATATCAAATGATGATAATGAAAAAAAAAAAAAAAACAAATTAAATCGATATACTTATTAATATTATGAGTCTTAAATCTATATAAATATATATTATGTATATTTTAATTATTATTCTTTAATATTTTAAAAGTTTAGAATTTTGTTCAACATAAATCAAAATTTGCTGAATATAAGTGCATATACATAGTGTTTACGTTATTTACTACACCCTCTATTATTTATATTATTAATTGCAACAATAACAACAACAAAATAGGCAAATCAAAATTATCAATTATTATTAACTATACAATAACTATATATATATATATATATATATATATATATATATGCAGACCAACTGTTGTTTAGCCTTGATTTGTGTGTTTTGTATATATATACATATATTAGTAAGCAATCCCCTTTTTGAAACAAACAAACAAACTATTTGTTGTTTTTTTCTTTCTTTTTTTTTAAATTAATATTACAAACGGGCAAAAACACATTTGACTTATAGTGCAATTGTTTCAAACAAAACAAATATAAATATATCTATATAAATATTATATACTTTTATATGAATAACAACTGATATAATTTAACAGATTTCTTTGCAATACCAAGAAGTATATGTATGTATATGTTAACAGCAACAATTATTAATTTAACATCAAATTGAGAATCAAAAATCATTTTAAGTGCACATATGTGAACAATTTGTAAGACAAAGTCAAAGTCAGTTTACTCAATTCATTTATGCTAAACACAATAACTAAAAACGAGAAACCATTTCAAATTTCAAAGTTTAGTTGTGCCAATCGGAAAACAGATGGAAAACTCTTTACTTGAGCGTTAGAAAACAACCAAACAAATGCAAAGAACAGAAGAAACAATAGCCAAGACAAACAACCAACAACAACAACAACAAACACAACAACAATAGCCCAAAATAATTGAACTAAAAATTGAGCACATATATATGTATCAATATATATGTCAAGAAATCAAATGAAGAAGACAACAACAACAAATAAAAAAAAACACACACACACAGCCTGACGTCGATTGTACTTTTCTTTTTTCTTCAAGCAAAAACCAATATAAAAAAACAAACAGTTTAATTAAACAATAGTACTACTCTAACTACAACAACTAAAATAGCAAACAGTAATAGAAATAGCCATAGCCACAAACAATTAACTATAAACCAATACAAACACACACAGAACAA